GTGTGTAAGTGTGTGTGTGTAAGTGTGTGTGTGTGTGTGCGTGTGTGTGTGTGTGTGTGTCGTGTGTGTGTGTCTGTGTGTGTGTCTGTGTGTGTGTCTGTGTGTGTGTCTGTGTGTGTGTCTGTCTGTGTGTCTGTCTGTCTGTGTGTCTGTCTGTCTGTGTGTCTGTGTGTCTGTGTGTCTGTGTGTCTGTGTGTCTGTGTGTCTGTGTGTCTGTGTGTCTGTGTGTCTGTGTGTCTGTGTGTCTGTGTGTCTGTGTGTCTGTGTGTCTGTGTGTCTGTGTGTCTGTGTGTCTGTTTGTCTGTTTGTCTGTGTCTGTGTCTGTGTCTGTGTCTGTGTCTGTGTCTGTGTCTGTGTCTGTGTCTGTGTCTGTGTCTGTGTCTGTGTCTGTGTCTGTGTCTGTGTCTGTGTCTGTGTCTGTGTGTGTGTCTGTGGGTGTGTCTGTGCGTCTGTGCGTGTGTGCGTGTGTGCGTGTGTGCGTGTGTGCGTGTGTGCGTGTGTGCGTGTGTGCGTGCGCGTGTGCGCGTGTGCGCGTGTGCGCGTGTGCGCGTGTGCGCGTGTGCGCGTGTGCGCGTGTGCGTGTGCGTGTTTGCTTGTTTGTTTGCTTGTTTGCTTGTTTGTTTGTTTGTTTGTTTGTTTGTTTGTTTGTTTGTTTGTTTTTGTGTGCGCGTGTGCGCGTGTGCGTGTGTGCGCGTGTGCGCGCGTGTGTGCGCGTGTGCGTGCGTGTGCGCGTGTGCGCGTGTGCGCGTGTGCGTGTGCGCGTGTGTGTGTGTGCGTGTTTGCTTGTTTGTTTGCTTGTTTGCTTGTTTGTTTGTTTGTTTGTTTGTTTGTTTGTTTGTTTGTTTGTTTTTGTGTGTTTCTGTGTGTGTTTGTGTTTGTGTTTGCGTGTGTGTTTTTGTGCTTGTGTTTGTGTTTGTGTGTCTTTCCCTGTGTCTGTGTCTCTGAGTGCGTCTGTCTCCGAGTCCGTGTCTTTGTCTGCGCCTGTGTCTGCATCCGCCTCCGCGTCCGTGTCTGTCTGTGTTTGCGGCTGTCTCTATGTCCGCATGCGCGCACTGGCGAGCTTTGGGGTAAACGGAAAACAGTTACAATATACTCAGGCCGGCACTCTTCCACATCCCTTTGCTCAAGCGGCGTGTTTGTCCGAGGCCCTTGCCCTCCAACTTCAGTTGCCCTAGTGAAGTGACAGGCGCACCACCCCACATTTCCGTCCGTCCATCCTTCCATCCAGCACCAAATCAGGGATAACATCCGAGCGGCATGCGGTGACTACCAAAAGTCCTTGTGCCGGAAATTCACATCTTCTCAAGAAGATATGCTTCGCAAGCGCCATCGCGCAGCTTTCACGTGGCTGCTCTTTACAGGCTGACAAGTAGAACCCTCTGGCAGCTCCAATCACAGCTTTGCAGTACGTGGACTGTGAAGCACACGTCTGTATTTCCAGCCGCAACGCGCCGCTTCTCGCTACAAGCACGGCGTGCCACACGCACGGAAAGTGGCAGCAAGCTCCAGAAACTTTCGCGCCTCTCTTGCACTCACAGGCCTGGATGCTGCAACTAAAAAATCAAAACTACAATGCGGGAGCCAAGCGCCGCTCTGCCCCTTCATATCTCAACAGGACGAGCTTCTCTGCCGTTTAAGAGGCGTCCTGTTCAGATACTCCGTGCCAGGCTGGAATATCACCATACATTTGCTTGTACTTTCAAACTCATCAAGGCACCTCTGGACTCGGACATTCAAGACCCCTTTCCTGGTTTGCGATGTTTATTTCGCGTACTTTCCGTTCAAAGCTGTTGTTGTGTTCAAAGCCTGCAGCATAGGGAAGAGTGCGCAGAAACGCACGCAGCACGTCACCATCAAAGACAGAAGGAACTTGTAAGATGCCCCAATTCCCAAGCAGCCGTCCTCTGCAACACGCTTCCTGTATTCATACCGGTCTTGTCACAGTTTGCCGCAGACATCCTCCGACATTGCTTGGCGTGTGGGATAACTAAGAGAAGATAGAGGACACCCCCCCCCAACAACCCCCCCCTGCCCGACGTCTGATACGTGGGGGGGCTGGCGTTTGGCAGCTAGGTGTGGGCAAAACAGGGGTCCCAAACAAACAGTGTTTTTTCAGGGAAATGCCCGGGAGTGAAGGGGAATGCAGGGAAGTGCAGGGAAATGAAGGGGAGGAAATAAAGGGAAATGCAAGGCATGCATGGGACAGGAAGTGGAAATGGCAGGAAAGCAAGGGGAAATGCAAGGGAAACGAAGGAGAACTGAAAGGGAAATGAAGGGGAAAGAAATGAGAACAAGGGGGGTGAAGGGAGAATGAAAGGGAAACAAAGGACGAGGAAACCAAAGGACACGAAGGGAGATGTGGGGAAATGACTGGCAATGAAAGGGACATACATGGAAAATGAAGCGGACATACCGAGAAAATGCCACGGAAATGAAGGGGGGATTGAAAGGAAAGGAAGGGGACATGACGAGGAAATCATAGGGAATGAATGACGAGACG